TGAACACACTCAACAGGTTAGGGATTAAGATGCGGCCATCTTGCCCTGGCTGGTTTGGCTCAGTGGATAGAGCTTCAGCCTGCAGACTGAAGAGTCCCGGGTTCGATTCCGGTCAGGGGCACCTGCCCAATTCTCATCATTGATGTTTCTACCTCTCTCCCCCTCTTCCTTCTTCTCTGAAAAAAAAAAAAAAAAAAAGATGCAGCCATCTTTGGGGGTGGAACAATTACTAATTACTGTGCCTACTGTGAGCAGTATACTAGAAAAACGACCAGTCTATCCCAAAGGAATAAGCAGAAACACACTGGAATCTTCGCTTTGCCCAGGGACATCCCTCGACTTCCCTGGAGTGTGAGCAGTGCACTTGGTGAGAGTGGCCTCAAACTGCCTGGCATCACCAACTTCTATTATTTTTTTTCTTGCCCAGAATTCTTTGTTTAGAAAGATCCTTGCCTCCCCAACATCGATGAGTTGTGCTTCTGGCACTTACTGTTCTTTTCTCACGCTGACACACCTCCCACGCCAGCCTCTGCTGAGTCAGAAGCGCCCCGGCCAGGGCACAGGCGCTGGACGTGTTGGTCAGGTCAGGAGGCCTGACCTGAGAGAACACAAAGCTGCTTCTGGGAAATTCTCATCGCACAATCAAGAGGCCAGAGCGATGGGCAATTAGCAATGTGAAGACAGAAACAACGTAAGAAAAGTTTAAAGGTTAAAGTCAGTGCACTTGAACAACATCTAATAGAATCTCCAATTAAACCTGTCCCAGCCTGAGCCTCTGCCCTTTCTGTGCAACCTGCCCCTCCTCCAGGCTGCCTGTCACACCCAATCTCAGGAAATCCTGCTGGCTCTGCCTCCAAACACGCTGGCGGGTTATTCATTAGTCAGGGGGAAAGGAAAGGTTCCTGTGGTGGTTACATTCCTGTGGTGGTCACCACCTGAACCGAGGGATCCAAGTCACCGGCACAAAGGCCGGAAGAACAGACACCGGGAGCCCCCTGAGGGGATGTCCTCAGGACACACCGTCATGCCTGTGAGAGTCCGGCAAAGGTGCTCCACGCAAACCAAATCAGAGGGAACGATCAGAAAACTCAGGTTGTGGGGCATTCCCTGGCGCCCTAGGACTCTTCCAGATGTCCATGTTATGAAAAACAAGGAAGAGCAGGAATGCTGTTATAGAGCTGGGTCAGCAAACATTTTCCATAAAAGGTCACAGGATAAATATTTTAGATTTGTGGGCCATACAAACCCACCTTTGCAGCTACAGAACAAATGCAAACAAATGTGTGTGTCTGGGTTCTAATAAAACTTTATTTATGAAGACAGGCAGTGGGCCGGGTGGCAGAGTCCTGCTGTACACTAAAGGTTACTAGAGAGACATGATAGGAAATGCAGCGCATGATCCTTAAGCAGACCCCAGATTAAAAATAATAAACAATGCATATAAGCATAACCCATGGACACAGACAGGGGGGGGGTGAGGGCATGTGTTGGAGGGGGTGGGGACGGCAGGGGAGAAGTCAATGGAGGAAAAAGGAGACATATGTAATACTTTAAACAATAAAGAATTTAAATTTAAAATAATAATAAACAGTAAAAAAGGGTTTTGGGGGGCAACTGGAGAAATCAGAATATAAGCTATATATTAATATTGTTATCAGTATTAAAACTCTCAGGTATGATATCGATACTGTGTTATATAGAATGTTCTATTCTTAAGAGATACAGGCTGAACTATTTAGGAGTGAAGTGTCATGTCCAAACCTATTTTCAAATGTTCGGGGGGGGGGGGGGAATGTGTATACATACATATACACATACATATGAAAGCAAAGATACAGCAAATTCGTTGAAGGCTATTAATAGATGAAATAGGTAGTAACGGGTATGTAACTAATGACTACACCATTCTTTCTTTCAACTTTTCTGCAAGTTTGACAATATTAAATGAAGAAAAAAAAGGGGGAAATTTCTCCAGAATCTGACTTCTCACTCACCTCCCCCTGGACTACTATGTTGCCTACTCTCTACATCCACCCTCACCCTCTGATTGCCAAATGCATGCTTCTATATATAAAAGGTTAATATGCAAAGTGTCTCCTTGGGAGTTGGACCAGGAGTTCAATCGCTCACTATGATGTGTGCTGACCACCAGGGGGCAGCGTGGGATGAAGGAAGATCCCAGCCAGCAGCCAGAAGGCCCTGATTGGCCCCCTGATAGCCAACTAGGCCTAGGGACCCTACCGATGCACAAATTCAATGCACGAGGCCTCTAGTTAAAATATAACATAGAGTCCTGGCCGGGTAACTCAGCAGGATAGAGCATTGTCCTGATACACCAAGGCTGTGGGTTCAAACCCAGGTCAGAGAACATACAAGTACCAACCAATGAATGCATAAATAAGCGAAACAACAAATCAATGTGTGTGCCTCTCTCTCTCAAATCAACAAATAAATTTATATCACAGATCCTGTCCTTCCTCAGGCCCTCCATGAGTCCCACCCACTCAGAGTAAAGCCAAAGCATTTGCAGTGGCCACAGGCCCTGCACAGTCTGCCCGCCTTTCCAGCACCACCAGTTCCCCTCGGCCCTCAGTCTCCACTCATCTGTCTGCTCAGCCGCACTTGCCTTGCTGTTCATCCAACATGCCAGGTACACTCTCACCTCAGGGCCTTCCCACGTACAGAACCTTTGGACTAGAATGTTCTCCCCTAACACCTGTACTGTTTGTTCCCTCCTGAGTATTTTCAGTGAGGTCTCCCTAATAATCCTATCTAAACTTACAACCTGCCCCTAAATACTCCTCCTCCAGCATCCCTGCTGTTTTCTCTAGGACAGTTATTGGTACCTAATATACTTCATATTTTAACTATTGATTTTGTTTATTGCCTGGCTTCCCCCCAGAATGTAAGGTCCCTGAGGACAGGATTTTTTTTTTGCCTTTTCTTCTCTGCTGTATCCACATCTATACATATACATCTGTGAACCACTGACTTCAATTGTATATCCGTTTACTCCTTACAACAATGTACTATACATAGCATAAATTTGTATATAGTATACAAAATGGGAATAATAATTACACACACACACATACACACACACACACACACACACACACATATATATATATATATATATATATTTATATTTATATATGAAGTGCTTATCACTGCCTAGCACAAAGTGAGTGCCCATTAAATGTTGTGGTTATAAAATACCCATTGTGCAGAAGAGGAGACTGAAGCTCTGACTGGTTAATTGACCAGCCCAAAGCTTCCTGGCCGGGAAGAGGCAGGGCCCAGAATGGAACCTGTGTCAGTCTAACTCAGGAAGCCACCGTCTAAATCACGAGAAGACATAGCACAGTATCTGGGAGAAAGGCAGTGGCAGGAACAGAAACCAGCACAGTCCGGGATGTAAGTCCTGCCTTTGGCACGAACTCAGGAGCAATTCACTCCTGCTCTCAAGGTCTCCGTTTTTCCCCCTATAAACTGGGAGAAGTCGTTTAGTATCCCTGACATAGGGACAAAATTGTGTGAAACTCAGATAAGACATCTGATACGAAAGTACTTGGTAACTATGCGATCCAACCCTTTTCCAGGCTAAGATCTGCAGCTATGGCAAAGGGCCCGCCAAACAAATATCAATGGACTAAGTATTGCAGGCTCCAGAATGCAAACTTTAAGCACCCAGACTTATAAGAAAAAAAAAAAAATATATATATATATATATATATATGTTCCTCTTAACCCATTGGCCTTTGCCCTCGCTTCTCCCTCTCCTTCAACATCATCCCTGCCCCCATGGTGTCTGGTGAGGTTCTCCTCACCCTGAAGACATCCCTGAACCCCAAACCAGGTCAGGCACCCAGGGGGCAATCCGATCCCAGCTCTGCCCACTCGGGTTGTCACTCTTGCAGAATGGGTGGCTCCCTAATGGAATGCGCTCCTTGAGGGCACAGATTGGGCTGACTTGGTCCCTGCTGTTTCACCAACACTGCCCAGCACAAGGCTGGGCAGAGTCCATACTCAGAAAATACTAGGTAAATGAAGTAATGGATGGGTGGGATGGATGAATAGCGGTTACCTGAGCCAACAAATTACATTAATTTCCTTATTCTGTGCTCCCATAGGCCTATTCATCTAGTTCGTCTTTTTAAAGTAGCTTGTATTTTGAGTGTCTACTATGCCCTTTAGGTCTCAGCTCGGCCTGCTCTCCTCTCGTCATCATGTCCCTGGCCTCTCTGAGCTCCAGAGTTCCCACCACCCTGACCACTCACTCGGGAGTGACAATGACGGGTCATGAGCGTCTCTCCCAGAATCCAGCAAAAAGCCAGCATGGTCTGCCTCTTGAATAAATGGACGAGAAACTCGGTGTATCAGTGGATTAATGAGTAAATGGACGAGTGTCTCTGGTTAAATTGCCATTTTGCCAGGTTCTCAGGCCACCTCCCCAGACCGCAACTTAATTTTGCCCGGAGACACACTTCTAACCCAGCCTTATTTCCCGTTGTATTAACTGGGGTAAACCGCTGTCCTAAACGAATGACATACAAGCACATTTAACCTCCAAGGCGAGGGGAAAACTGAAGTTCGAGATACAGTTTGGGGAGCCAAGACGCCCAAGGATGGCTGGGCAAGTGACTCCGCCTCGACCCTCCTCCGCTGGCCCCTAGCTCCTCAAAGCCTCGGAGGGCCCGGCCCAAATTATTCTCGTACCACGCCATTGGCTCGCTCAGACATCAGTCGCCACGCGCTCTCTTACTCTATTGGCTGGTATTCTCAACTCGGGAGGAAGCGCTCTGCCCCGCCCCTCAGCCCACGCCCCTCCTTGCAATTGGACTCGCCGCATGCCCTTAATCCCAAAGGCCCTCCCTATTGGCTGCAAGACTTTGCCGGTTCGGGCTGTGATTGGACGTGAACAGAAGTCCATCCCCTGAACAACCACCTGAGAGGGGTTGGAGAATGGGAAGGTTGGAGGGACTTGGGGTCAGACTCACGCTGAGCCGGCGGGAGGCAGACATAGGTCTTGAAGAACTCGCTCCGGCGGGCGCCCTCCTTAATGCGGTTGGCAAGCGGCTTGCTGATCTGCCGGACGCCCAAGTATAGCAGCTTCGCCATGGGGAACGCACCCACCACCATCTTGGCGGTCGCACGAGGGACGGATAGCCCGGCTGACTGGGCGGGGCGCCTCCAATCTCTCCCTCCTCCCCCGCCCGCTGGTCGCTGTGCGTGCGTGCGTGCGCGTGCGTGCGTGCCTACGCTCGGGGGAAAGTGCAGGGGCGCTCCCTGACGTCACCTCGTCGCGCTTACGCCCCTACGTACTTCGCTGAATATGCAAATATGTAGCGGAAGTGAAGCGGTCTGAGGGCAGAGTCGTTAAACGGCTGATTGCGGGAACGTGGGGTGGGTTCCCACACGCTCTTTCGTGACGTTACGTACCTAGGTGGTCGCTCGGCCCCATTGAGGCTCTCAATTAGTCCTAATAAGGGCTAATGAATCCCAAATACAACTACCCAGTGAGAGCAGGTTAGGGCTCTATATAGCCATGCAGACCTGGCTTGAGAGCCCAGTTGTCATTCACTTGCTGTGTGATATTACTCAAGTGACTTAACCACTCTGGGCATCAGTGTTCTCGTCTACAAAACGTGAATCATGATAGCTGTTAAGTGGGTTGCATGCCCATCTGAATGTAAAAATACGGTGCCTGTCATATAGTAAGCACTTCATAAACAGCCTTTATTACTATAAAGGTATTATTAATAGTATCGTCATGGCTAACTCCAGTGGGAGGGGTGCTTTTCACCTCCAGAAGCAGATAATCCAGCCCTCTCCCAAACAACAGAGAGGGCAGGGGACTGGCACAAGGTCCCTCAGCCGGCAGAGGTGGATAGCCCAGCATTCTGGCCAGGAAAACCTTACCCGGGCTCAGGCAGCCCCACTGCCTCCATTGCGGGGCGAGGGTCCCCAGGGAGCTGGCTCAGGAAGGACTTTAAGGACATGTCCCAGCCTGTCCTCCCTTACCCAGCAGGAAGCAAAATCGTATAAACAAGGTCAGGAAGGGGTTGAGAGACATTCCTGAATGGTGGAGTGCTGATGGGTAATTGAGAGGCTCTAGGAGAGGCAGAGGGAGCCCAAGAGAGGCGCGGAGGAGTGGGGTGCAAGAGGACACACACCTTCAGGATGTAGAGTCAGGAGACCCTGGGCTTTCCTTGTATCCGCTCTGACTCCCTGACCATCCTCTGTCAAGTCCCAGCGCTGATGTTCCTGTTTCTTCATCTGTAACAACGATGGCACTGACGTGTGTGAACCCAGACAATCCAAATTATGTAGTAAAAGTGACAAGATCATAAAACAAACCTCCCCTGGGATCCCTCCTGGACAGAGTATGAGGGAGCTTGGAGCCTATCCAATGTCCATATCCACCAGGGACCAACCCCCTCCCCATTTTACAGACTGGCTAACTGAGGCCAGAGAATGAAAAGGGTTTAGCCAACATCCCAAGGGTCATCAGGATGGAGCTGAAGGCTAGAATTTCACTTTTTTTTTTTTTTAATGTGATTTTATTTTTCAAAATGTTTTTATTGATTTGAAGAGAGAAAGAAACATTGATCCACGGCCTCCGCACACTCCATGACTGGGGATTGAACCCGCAACCTGAGCATGTGACCTGGCTGGGAATGGAACCCAGTGATCTTTGGATGCACAGGACTATGCCCAACCAACTGAGCCACACTGGCCAGAGCGAGGCTGGGATTTCTTGAGTCCCATCCCAGAGTCTTCTCTTGAGGGGTGTTAGCCTGGAATCCAAGGACCTACTGGGGGGACTAAGGTAACTTCCAAACTTGTACATGGCTGCTTTTTTTTCCCGGTATAATTCACTCAGCTTCTAAAATAGTGCCTGGCACATAGTATGTGCTCAATAAATATTTATTGAATGTGAATGAGCATTTGGCGGAGGGCAATGTGCAAGCTTTCATTTCATTCTCTGAGGAGACTGTGTTCAAAATATCTGACCCCCTACAACTCCACCCCAACAGCTTTATGGTGGTGAGACAGGATGGGAAAATTACTAGACTCCCCCTTTTCTCTTCCCAACACCAAAGCCCCAACTTCCTGCATCTCAGTAACCCTCCCCCCCTCCTGCAAAACCATTTTCTTCATTAAGTTCTTTTTTTTCCCCCTCATTCCTCTCCTCCCTCCTCTTTCTTTCTCTGAGAAGGGTTTCCAGGAACCTCTTCTGGGAACTTCTGGGGCAAGGAAGGGTGTGCGTGGAGAGAGGTGGGGTGTGTGTGTGTGTGTGTGTGTGTGTGTGTGTGTGTGTGTGTGATCCATCTCATCCTGAGCCTGTTACAGACCCAAGAAAGAAGGAGTGAGGCCGGTCCAGAGCTGGGCGCGTCCTCCAGTTTTCCAGCCCGGCTATAGGAGGACCATCCTGGTGGCCTCTGAGGGCGAGAGAGGGAGGGAGAGACCCGCCGGAGCAGGCAGCCGTGGCCACTCTGGGGCGTGGGAACAGAGGCAGCGACCGGGAGGGGAGAGGGAGCCCAGGGTGGCCCCAGGCTGACTCACCGGCTGCGCCACTCCGGGCTAGTCCCTTGGCCTCTCCAGTGACCACCCGGAATAGGGCCTGGGACCGTTCCCAGAGGTCCTTCCCGCTCGGGCCTCTGTCACCAGTTTCCCAGGATGGGCAAGAGGCTGCGCTACCCAACCCCACAGGCCCCGGCGCTGCTTCCATCTTTGTGTTCCTTCGCAGTAAGTCCCAAAGCGCCCTGTGTCCCTCACTCACTCCACCGCCCACCTAGGCCCCCCTGCCGGCACCTCCCACCTGACTATGGCAGACACCGCTTCACCGGGCTCCCGGCTGCTCCCTCACTGCCCCTATTCTGTTCCCCACTCGGCAACCGGCGGGATCCGGTTAACACTGGAGTCAAAGCACGTCCCTCCTCTTGTGGCTCCCATTTACCTCTGAGTAAAAGGCAAAGTCCCCACCGGGACTGTCTGAGCCCCGAAAGATGGTCCTCGGTCCCCCTGCCAGTCTCACTCCCACTCGATCACCCCCATCTGCTCCAGGCGCACCACGGGACCCACGGTGCGTCAGAACTCAGGCTCTCTCTGCCTCCAGGGCCTTCCCCTGGCTGTGCCCACTGCCTGCCCTGCTCTTCCCCCTGGCAGCCACAGGGCCCTTTACCCTCCTTCCGGACTTTGCTCAAGTGCCTCCTTCTCAGTGAGCCCTCTGACCTCCTCTAGATCAGACTCCATGTCCCTCTGTCCCTTCCTGTGTCTTGATCACCACTGTGTCCCCAGCCCCAGCCCACACAGCAGAAGGCAGGTACAAATAAACTTGCTGATGGGATGACCCCTCCAGGCAGTCTTCCTTGATTGCCCTTCACTTGGGTTTGGACATTCTCCCTCTCCTTCCTCAATCCTGACTTGGAGAATGTTCATCTAAAAACTCAGACTTGCTCTGTCCTGCTCACTGCCCCCCACCCCATATGACGGGGGCTTCCCTAGAGCAAAAGAGATCACTCCACACTCAGGGTTTCTCCTTCTGCCTTCCCCTTGAGTCACCACCTCATTGGAAATGATCCTCACGTCTCTTTTCTTTCTTTCTTTGGTCTTTACCTCTGGAAACTTCATTTACTAGTCCTGGTCTCCTCCTCCAGGAAGCCCTCCCTGCCCCCCAGCCCGGGTCAGATGCCCTTTGGGGTTCCCCCAGACCCTGGCCTCTCCTGTCTGAGCCTGCCCACCGGAATCATCACTGTCCAGGGACAGATCTGCCCCCCCACCCCCCATCAAAGCGGGAGCCTGGTAGGGCCGGGCCAGGTCTGTCACACATCACCCCAGTGTCACTAACCCTGCCCGGGCTGGCTGGCGCCGTGCCGCTGAACTGTTACGGGGCCACCGCGGAGGAGGACAACTGAGCAGAGGGACACACCAACCTTGCTGTTTTCCTCTTTTCTTGTATTCACAGGGTGAGCGGTAACATGGCCTTATTTACATACAATTCGCATACACCAGAGCGAGAGGGTCCCGGGTGAGGGGTGAATTTCTGGGGGGGAGGAGGTGTCCCTGTGCCATCTGAGGGTCCCTGTGCCATCTGAGGGTCCCTGTGCCCTCTGAGGGTCCCTGTGCCATCTGAGGGTTCCTGTGCCATCTGAGGGTCCCGTGCCCTCTGAGGGTCCCTGTGCCCTCTGAGGGTCCCGTGCCATCTGAGGGTTCCCGTGCCATCTGAAGGTCCCTGTGCCCTCTGAGGGTCCCCGAGCCCTCTGAGGGTCCCTGTGCCATCTGAGGGTTCCTGTGCCCTCTGAGGGTCCCCGTGCCCTCTGAGGGTCCCCGTGCCCTCTGAGGGTCCCCGTGCCCTCTGAGGGTCCCTGTGCCCTCTGAGGGTCCCTGTGCCACCTGAGGGTCCCTGTGCCCTCTGAGGGTTCCTGTGCCCTCTGAGGGTCCCCGTGCCCTCTGAGGGTCCCCGTGCCACCTGAGGGTCCCTGTGCCCTCTGAGGGTCCCTGTGCCGTCTTAGGGTCCCTGTGCCGTCTGAGGGTCCCTGTGCCCTCTGAGGGTCCCTGTGCCACCTGAGGGTCCCTGTGCCACCTGAGGGTCCCTGTGCCCTCTGAGGGTTCCTGTGCCCTCTGAGGGTTCCTGTGCCCTCTGAGGGTCCCCGTGCCCTCTGAGGGTCCCCGTGCCCTCTGAGGGTCCCCGTGCCCTCTGAGGGTCCCTGTGCCCTCTGAGGGTCCCTGTGCCACCTGAGGGTCCCTGTGCCCTCTGAGGGTTCCTGTGCCCTCTGAGGGTCCCCGTGCCCTCTGAGGGTCCCCGTGCCACCTGAGGGTCCCCGTGCCACCTGAGGGTCCCTGTGCCCTCTGAGGGTCCCTGTGCCGTCTTAGGGTCCCTGTGCCGTCTGAGGGCCCCTGTGCCCTCTGAGGGCCCCTGTGCCATCTGAGAGTCCCCGTGCCATCTGAGGGTTCCCGTGCCATCTGAAGGTCCCTGTGCCCTCTGAGGGTCCCTGTGCCATCTGAGGGTCCCTGTGCCCTCTGAGGGTCACTGTGCCACCGGCGGCGGCAGCATCTTCAGCTGCACCTGCTCCTCCTGGGAGGTCGGCGCCACCGCCCAGCCGGCTGCCACGACCTTGGCCGCCGCCACGTGGCTCCTCTTGGACGTGAGCGGGGTCTCCAGGGTGAGGGAGGCGCTGGCCATCTCCTGGGGCTTGTCGCTGGCCAGGAAGCGCAGCAGGTCGTGCAGGGCCCTGGCCACGTCGCTGCGGGTGCCCTCGTTGACCAGGCAGTAGAGGATGGGGTCGGCCACGCAGTTGAGGCTGGTGAAGGCCAGCGAGCTGTGGTAGGCGGGGAACACGCGCTCCTCCAAGCCGCAGTCCCAGGGCCGGCCCAGGTGCGCGGCGCTGCGGGACAGCAGCAGCACGTGGTAGGGCGCGAAGCACACCAGCACGATGGCGATGAGGCTGAGCGCCAGCCGCTTGATCTTGGTCTTCTCCTGGCGCTCGGTGGACACGCTGCCGCGCACGGCGCGCAGGATGCCGCGGTAGCACAGCAGCATGAGCGCCCAGGGGCACAGGAAGCCCACGAAGACGCGGTACAGGTTCATCCAGGCCACCCAGCTCTCCATGGGGAACTTCTCGAAGCAGAAGGTGTGGTTGTAGCGGTCGCGGAACAGCTCGTCATGGAAGAGCGGCGCCGAGTTGGCGCCCAGCTCGGTGGCCCAGACCACGGAGCTCACGGCCACGGCCGTCTTGACGCGGCGCAGGCGGGCGAAGCGCAGCGGGTGCGCCACGGCCAGGTAGCGGTCCACCGAGATGCAGCACAGGAAGGCGATGCTGATGTAGATGTTGGTGTAGAAGATGAAGCCGAAGAGCTTGCACGAGCCGGGCCCGTGGATCCAGTTGTCGTGGTGCAGGAAGTAGTCCACCCAGAGCGGCAGCGTGCAGATGTACAGCAGGTCGGCGATGCTCAGGTTCATGAGGTACACGCCCAGCTCGTTGCGCTGGCGCACCTGGCGGCAGGCGGCCCACAGCGCCAGGCAGTTGGTGGGCAGCCCCACGCCGATGACGAAGATGTAGAGGGAAGGCGGGAAGAGGTGGTCCATGCGCGAGTCCACGTGGCAGCCCTCCCAGCTGCCGTTGCCCATCCTCAGCGCCGCCGCCGCCGCCGGGCCTCTCAGGGGCTTCCCCTGGCCCCCGGGGGCTGCGGGGCCACAGGGGGCGGGAGGCCATGGGGCTCCCGAGCCCCCTCCTTGGAGGCTCAGGGGAACATGGTGGGAGGCGGTCCCCGGGGAAGAGCGGAGGGAGGTTGGCTGTGGGCTGTGGACGGGAAAGGGTGGAGCCTGGGAGGGAAAAGTTGGGGGGTGGAATGAGTCAACACAAGAGGGAGTGGGGGATGGAGGGATAAGGTAGGGGGTGGGCCAAGGGCTTTGTCAAGGAGGTGTGTCTGGACTCAGAGTGTAAATGCGGGAGGGATGGGGTGACACAGAGACGGGCCCAGGGCAGTGTTTACGGAGGAGATGAGGGCTCTGTGCGGGACGAAAGGAGCAGTGAGTGGGGCTGAGCTGAAGGGACGGTGGGTGGAATGTCCGAGAAGCCACGGGAAACACACAGGAAGGTGCTCAGATGGGACGGGGCTACAATCGGGGGGTGCTGAGTGGACCAGGCAGTGTGGGTGTGGGTGCTGGCATTCCCCAGGACCCCAACAAGGAGTGAGGAAATAAGATGAAGGCTGAAGAGAAGAGGAGGGAAAGGAAGGTGTTGGGGGGAGGGAGGCCGGCAGAGGGGAATGTGGGAACGGGAACAGGAAGGAGGTGAGGAAGGGCCAGATCAGAGGAGGATGGTGATGGGAGGGGCAGGGGGCAGGGGGCAGGGGGCAGGGAGGACTCCGCTGTCCTGGATGGGCTGAGCAGTGAGATGAGGTGGCCCCACCTGCAGCTCCGCGCTGGCTCTGCAGTGCCTGTGCCTGTGGGGAGAGGCCGGAGTGAGGGGCGTGGCTGTGACAGGCCTGGCAGTGACCCCCAGATAGAGCCTCGCTAACCCCCAGGCTAGACAACAGATCTCTGAAAACACAGATTTGAGGCGCCAGATAGATTTCCCCCTAATAGACGTTAAAATAATGACCCTACTTAGCCTTTAGAACGTTCTTCCTGAAACCACAGAAAGCTGGCACAAATCTCTCCTGCTTTGGGGAAAGCTGGGTGAGGTTAACGCCATCATTTCACAGGCTGGGAGGAGGGGCCCAGAGAGGCTGGGTCAGGGCCCTCCAGGATGCACAGCCAGGTAGCGAGGAACCGGAACCAGCACCAGAAATGGAACCAGAACCAGCCTCTCATTCCTAACCCAGGGCACCCCATCCCTTTTTTTTTTTTTTTTTTTTTTTTTTTTAGCTTATTTTTATTTTTATTCTCACCTGAGGACATTTTTCCATTGATTTTTAAAGAGAGTGGAAAAGAGAGAGAAACATCAATATGAGAGAGACACATCAATCGGTTGCCTCCTGCATGTGCCCTCACCAGGGCCTGGGCCAGGGAGAAGCCTATAACTTAGGTACATGCCCTTGACCGGAATCGAACCTGGGACCCTTCAGTCTGCAGGCCAAAGCTCTATCTGCTGAGCCAAACCGGCTGGGGCCAGGGCACCCCATTCTTGATAATGATGATAAGGAAGTGGATACTCACAGCTCAAGTTTGTGAGTCCTACTACAGAGCAAGCCTTGTGCTAAGCACTGTTGTGGGTATTAATTCTTTAAAATGTCAAGAACCCTATTGTAAGTACTGTTATTCCCCCCTATTTGACACACGGAGGCACAAAACGGTTCAGAGACCTGTCCAAGGTACTGAGGGGGAAACGCGGCTCTCACCCCCTTTGCTCCAGCCTGTGCGTCAGATCCCTCTTGAAAATAACTGGACAGAGGAGGTCTGGGCTGACAGCGGGGGCTGGGACCACAGCTGCAGGGGACTGGGGGGGAAGGCTGAGCACAGGGCCCTGCTGCTGGATCCGATCAAGTCCAGGAAGCAAGGCCAGCAAGCCGTCCCCTCCCTCAGGGACCACGTCCTCACTGCCGCCTGGCTGACTTCCCGAGAGTGCGAACCCGGGGCCAGGGGGCCCAGCACTGGGCACCTCCTTGGTGCCGGGAAGACCTGCAGGCACGGGGCAGAGGGCAGCCATGGACAGAGCCACTCCCTGCGCTAGGTCAGCCCCTGAGAGAAGGGAAACGAAGCCTGAATCAGGGGCATTTTCCCAAGCTCCATCCGGGGGTTTGCACAGATTCCATTTCATGAGCTTTTTATAAACAGAAAAGGTCTTAACTGGAAACCCCACGTAAGATGGTGAAAGGGAAAGCTGCTCTGTGCTCTGGAGGAAATAAGGAGGCGGGGCGCGGCTGGCACACTGGAAACCACCGTCACGTCCATGGGCCAGATGACAAACTGAGGCCCGGAGAGGGGAAGGGAGGGGCCCTCACCCCACAACAGGCCTTGGCAGCCTCCCACGTGTCCTCCCTTCCAGCGGACACCCCTCTGGTTCCGCCTGCCTCCCTCCAGGACACGCCTGAGTCCCCGCGGGTCTGCCTGCGCTGCGCCACCATCGGCTCACCTGCTGGGACCCCGCAGGGCCTGCTCACTGCTTTCCTGGCTGCCCTGCTGACGTCCTTGGCCTCGCTGCCCACGCTGCAGCCGGAGAGGTCTCTCCCACATGCAAACCAGCTCTGGATGCTTCTCTGCTCCACGCCCTCCAATGAGCTCCCAAGGAACCAGGGGTAAAATCCAGCTCCCTGCCCCGCAGGCGCTGCCTGACTTCCTTGCCCACCGCCCCTTCCCCCCTTCTTCCCAGCCTGGAAAGGTAGGCCCTGCCGCCTGGACTGCTCTTTTTTTCATTGTTGTTAACCTTCACCCGAGGATGTTTCCCCATTGATTTTTAGGGAGAGGGGAAGAGAGGGAAAGGCAGAGAGAAACATCAATGTGAGAGAAACACAATGACTGGTTGCCTCCAGCAGGAGCCCTGACCAGGGCCCGGGCCGGGGAGGAGCCTGCAACCAAGGTACATGCCCTTGACCAGAATCAAACCTGGGACCCTTTGGTCCACAGGTGGACGCTCTATCCATTGAGCCAACTGGCCAGGGCTGTCTGCACCGGGCACACTTCCAGATCTTGCTAGAACCAGCTTCCTCGTCCCCTTCCCTTCCTCAAGGGGCCCTTCCCACCCAGAATCCCACCCAGGGCTACCACCTCACCTCATCTTATATCTTGTTTTGTCTGTCTGTCTAGAGTGGATGTTCCAGGAGGGCAGAGACCTTGAGTTGACTGCTGAAGCTCTAAGGCACAGTAGGTGCTCAATAAGTGACTGTTGACCAGAAGAACACACATTGGTCAGCCTACCCCCAACGCAGGCTCCCTGGAGGCGCCCCCCCCACACACACACACTTCTGGCCAAACAAGCCCCTGTGGACCCCAGAGAAAGAGGTGGGGGGAGGGGTGCGTGAAAGGGCAGGAGCCATCCGCTCCGGAACTGGCTTTGAAAGGTCAGGACTGAGTCCTGCTTGGAAAGTCCCACCCCCCATGGGGTCCTCGCCACAAAGCGCCTCCCTCACCCCAGACCCAGATCCCCACTGTCCTAGTGCAACCCAGTCCCTCCCTTCAAGCCAGACCCCCCCCCAGACCAAGTCACCCAACCCCCGACACCCCCCCTCCCCCTGGCTCTCTGTCCCTGGGTCTCCTCCTCCTCTCTGCCCTTGTCTCTCCTTCTGCCTTTTGTAATATTGACGGAATTACTTCTTTTTTTTTGAAGGAGAGTTTTGTTTTTGTTTTTGTTGTTTTTTTAATATATTTTATTGATTTTTTACAGAGAGGAGGAGAGAGGGATAGAGAGCTAGAAATGTCGATGAGAGAGAAACATCGACCAGCTGCCTCTTGCCACCCCCTACCGGGGATGTGCCCGCAACCAATGTACATGCCCTTGACCGGAATCGAACCCAGGACCTTTCCGTCCGCAGACCGACGCTCTACCACTGAGCCAAACCGGTTTTGGCCAGAATTACTTCTTTTGCAGGAGCCTCAACTTCCCCTTCTTATAAAAGGGAACACACAACTTTTATACTAGTCACATCACAGATCCAAGCATCCTAGTTGATATCATCTTATAAATCATTGAACAGCCCTAACCGGTTTGGCTCAGTGGAGAGAGCATCAGCCTGCAAACTGAAAGGTTTCAGGTTCAATTCCGGTCAAGGGCATGTGCCTTGGTTGTGGGCACATACCCAGTGTGGGGTGTGCAAGAGGCAGTTGATCGATGTTTCTAACTCTCTATCCCTCTTCCTTCTTCTCTGTAAAAAAATCAATAAAATATATATTTTTAAAAAACATTTAAATTATTGAACAGTGATTGTTATTCCACCAGCACTGGAGAGCTCAGACCAGAAGCCAGTGTGCAGTGGGAGGAGGCCCCAGAGCCGGGATTTCCCGCTGGCCCAGCCTCCGGCCCCCAGAGACCACCCGGGTTCAGCACCGGCAGAGGCACCTGCTGGAGACTAATTCCTGCAGCCACAGGAAGTAGCTCCTCATCGCTAATCTCCTCAAGGGGAACCAGCGGGACCTCAACCCTTCCTCCTCCCGCATCTCCACCCTCAGCCCTCCTGCTTCTAGAGAGCGCTGGGCATGGGGGAGGGGCACTCCGACACCCCCCTCTCCTCCAGATCTGCCCACGGCCGGGGCCCGAAAGACAGCACAGTATGTGACAGCTGGGGCGCGAGGCTTTTTCTGAGCCCTCCCTGCCCAGATGGGGAAACTGAGGCCCGGGGGGCAAGGCAGTTCTCTAAGTCACGTGAGGTGCCACCCCTGGGCAGATGTGTCTTCCCTAACTGAAGGGCTTCCCTGCCTGGATGCTGTCTCTGACTCCCTCGCCCCGGTAACCCCCCTCAAGACTGGCTGGGGTTCTCAGACTCTCCGGAGAATCTGCCGAAAGACACAACAACTTTCTCACTACGAGGAAGCCAGAGGCCCAGCTGGCTTGGCTCAGCGGTTGAGCTTTGACCCATGGACCAGAAGGTCAGGATTAGACTCCGGGTCGGTCAGGGCACATGCCTGGGGTGCAGGCCCTCGATCCCCAGTGGGGGGCGTGCAGGAGGCAGCCGATCCATGATTCTTTCTCA